GTTGTACGGGGACACCTGAGCGGCCTGAAGAGGCACCTGGAGGTGACTGACGGCGATGGGGGCGCCGGGCTGGCGGCCGGGATCCATCTGGAGCTGCAGCACAGCCAGCTCGCCGTTCTTGGCGCCGTACAGGCTGTGCTGCTTCTTGTGGCTGCGCAGAGAATCCTCCCGCACGAAGGACGCGTCGCACAGGTCGCACTTAAAGGCCTTCTTGGCGTCCAGCTTGGCCACTTGCCTGGAGCCGCCCTGCTTCGGCCTCTCCCCTTCCTTCTTGTCCAGCGAGTGCCTCTTGCCCTTGGCCTTGTCTCCGTGGGCCTTGCGGACGTGGGTGGTGAGGTTGCTGCGCTGCTTGGTGTCGAAGCTGCAGAACTCGCACTTGAAGGGCCGCTCCTTGCCGTGGATGCGCTCGTGCACCTTCAGGGCCGCCTTGCTGGAGCACGAGTAGCTGCACTCGGAGCACTTCACGGGCTGCTCGGGCTGGTGGCTGCGGATGTGGTGCCGCAGGCTGGTCTTGTTGCCGCACTGGAAGTCGCACTCGGGGCACTTGAGGGTGTTCTCCATGCTGTGCTTGATGCGCACGTGGGATTTCAGGTTGCCCTTCATGGCGCAGCGCACCTCGCAGAACTCGCACTTGTAGGGCTTCTCCCCCGAGTGCACCCGCAGGTGCCGCTTCAGGTCCGAGTTGATCTTGAACTTGGCGGGGCACATCTGGCACTGGAAAGGGGCATCTCCTGCCAACAGAAGGCACAGGTGACACCAGCACACGCTGCTGGGATGGATCCCGTTCAGCTGCCTCGTCCTGAACCCACAAGGTGCTCTCAGAGCCAAGAGAAATTTCGTGACACGGCATTATCACCTGGTCTGACACGCTTGGATCTAAAACCATTATTTGGCATTTTCTGCATTTCTGGGCTGGTGTCACAATATCCACGACCACGTTAAGGTGGAGCTGTGCTAATCCCTAATCAATTCCAGGCAGTCTGTTCTAAAGCCATTAAAATAAAAATCCAAAGCACACTTAGCAACCTAACTAAATAACTAGTCCCTTTTCTTTCTTTAATCTAAAAATACAGCTCTCTAAAATACCTGAGCCTGAAGTCTGTAGGTAGGCATTGTTTTGAACAAGTGCAAGAGTTGTGTTATTAGGTTCTACAACACTCTTGGTGAGAGGAGGAAAAAGAAAGTGTATTTAGTTCAACAAGCATTTATCCTCTTTAATAATCAAACTGCAAATGGCTGATTTATTTTAGAAGTTAATATTTTATAGAGTTTGTGAGAGCTGTATAATTTTGCATAATTTGCTTATCCAGCTACATATGTCATAGGTTTAGCTACATATTTTTTAAATCAAGTTGTGGCCTACTGTGCTAATCCCTGTATCTGTTTAATAATTGAGATACATGGTGTACTGTCTGTATTAAACAGACTTTATTAATGAAGATACACTGTTTGTTCATCTAGTTTATTTTACAGCCTCAGCTGCACACTCAGCTACTGAATTTTTATCTGCTTTGCTGATGAAGGCACAGTTCATATTTCAATGACTTAATTTTCATATACAGGGCAGCAAAATATATGAAAAATAATATAGCAAATGCTGGTTTTGTTTGTTTAAAGAGTGGCCTACTCTGTATTTCTTTCCATTTCTGCCCATCCCTAACTGACACTGACAGGATTTAGATAAAAACTTGTGTCTGACCATAGGATTATGAATTCTAAGAGTAGTTTCATTCAAATTAACAGGAAGCTGATGTTTAGTGTCTAATTCCGTGAAGATGACCTCGCTCTGAGCAATGGGGATTACGCTCACCTTCAAGAAGATTATTAATTTAATTCCAGTAAGCAATACATTCTACATCCCAGTCTTACTTTTCTTCTAAAATTGGGTGTGTGCATGACACTTTCTAACCTAACAAGGATGAAATGACTACTTTCAAAATTCTTGTGCCTCTTTTCAGCAAATGAAAGTCCTTTTACAAGAAAAGAAAAATATTAATTTTGGAGAAATAGAAGAAACAACAAAACTAAAGCTTGAGTTTTAGCATAATTCAATTGCTTAACATGAGAAATGCCAAAAAGAAAGGTCAGCCTAAAATCCCTTCCCAGCTACTGGAATATTGAATGGCACAGAAATTGGATTCTGCTGGAAATACCAGTGTGCTCACTCAGGGCTCACCTGCCCAGGTGAGGAGGGCACAGCCCCACCCGTGTGCGAGCGCAGGTGCATGGTGAGCTGCCTGGAGCTGAGCTGGTGTAGGGGCAGATCTGGTGCTTGAAGGGGGACTTGCTGGGAACTCAGATCATCCCTTTTGGGAATCTGGATACCTGTCCATGACCTAAATCCATCTCTGTGACCCTCCAACCCATACAGGTGTGGATGTGAGTAAAATGCCACCTGTGTGAGCTCAGGCTGGAGCTGAGCTGGCTTAGGGGCAGATCTGGTGCTTGAAGGGGCGCTCCCTGGGAACTCAAATCATCCCTTTTAGGTGTCTGGATACCTGTCCATGACCTAAAACCACCTCTGTGACCCTCCAACCCCTACAGGTGTGGATGTGAGCATGACCCCACCTGTGTGCGAGCACAGGCTGGAGCTTTGCTGGCTTAGGGGCAGATCTGGCACTTGAAGGGGGACTTGCAGGAAAATCAAATCATCCCTTTAGGTGTCTGGATACCTGTCCATGACCTAAAACCACCTCTGGGACCCTCCAACCCCTACAGCCGTGGATGTGAGCACGGCCCCACCTGTGTGTGAGCGCAGGTGCACGGTGAGCTGGCTGGAGTTGCGGCTGGCGTAGGGGCAGATCTGGCACTTGAAGGGGCGCTCGTTGGAGTGGATGCGCTGGTGCTTGTTGAGGCTGCTGCTGTCGGCCGCTGCGTACTCGCAGTGCTTGCACTTGTAGGGCTTCACGCCCGTGTGCGAGCGCATGTGCATCTTCAGCTTGTCCTTGCGGCTGAAGCACTTGCTGCACACCTCGCACTTGTGGGGCTTGTCTCCTGCAACAGCAGCACTCACACTCAGGGCTTGGCATGGAGAGGAAGCGGTGCTACAGCAGAAAGCACGGACTGAACGCTGAGCAGGAAAGGGACGCGTTTGTAGGAGCTGGGCACGAGGCTGCAGGCGTAGCTGCAACAAACAGCAGAGCCTTTGGAGCCTTCTCCCTGTGCAGCTCCAAAACTGGGAGCTAAAATCATGGAGTTGCTTTAATATAAAGAGCAAAGCAGGTGTGTGCACTCCCAGCACTCTGCACCCTGATGAACACAGGGTGTGCACTCAGGAGTTGAACCGTGCCTCAAATCAACCTCCCGTGCTCCATTGTCACAGCTGTGACATGTCCATGTCCCCAACAGGCAGGACAACACTACAAGGTACAGACACATCTGCATCCTGTTGATAGTGACATTACTTCATAGGAAAATGGCTTTTGTGAAAACGCTGAAAGGAGGACACCGAGCCAGAAGAAAATATAGGAATATAAACCTGTGTGTGTTCGCCGGTGACGTTCCAAATCCTTCATACCATAGGAAGTCTTGAACTGGCAACCTGAAAACAGTAAGATAAACATCATTAAATTCACGGAAAATCTAGAAAAAATAATAAAAATACATTACCACAATCTGTACATGTTTATTTTCAACAGTGTTTTCTTTAAAATCCACTGTAAACAAAAAATTAATTCCTCATCTTGCTCACTCACATCTACTTCAAACAGTGACCAGCTCACCTGTGAACTTGAGTTTTCTAATGCTTCCCCTTAGAGGCAACTCACTCCAGCACTGCTGCAGGTATCAGATCTCCTGCATGTCATCACAGGAAAGCTCTCCACGTTAAAATGAAAAGGCAGCAGGTACAATGCTCATCTCACCTGGGTACAGGCAGCTGAGTTTCTTCAGTGGCAGTGAGGAGGAGGAGGAGGATTTCTTGGACCTTGCTTTTGGTGGTGTAGAGACGACAGCAGCAGCTGGAGGCTCTGTGCTCTCGCTGGGCAGGTAGGTTTGGTAGCCATGCTCAAAAACAAACTCTGGGGCAGAAACTAAACACACAAAAAACTTCACGTGAGAGCATTATCTTCTCTAATCAGATAAAAAGGAAAATCTAATTATTGTCTAATTTAATGAATTCTCTATTCTGTTTTTGTTTTGTTTTCCCAGCAACATTCCTGTTTCTGGGTTCCTATTTACCTGGGGGAGGAGGAAAAATGTTTTTCTCTTCCAAATACCAAATAAAGATATATTTGTTTTGCAACTCTGTTTGTGTTATAGCCCAAATGAGAAAAAAATATCATGATTTATATGGCAAATGTTCTCCACAAATTATTTTTGTGATTGTTAAAAAAGTTCAGCCTCTTTCAACTCCACTGTTTTTAGCTGTTACTCACAAGAATAACAGGTGAAAATATCTCAGCCAAAGTAGCAGCTTTTAAATCAATTAAACAACACTATAGCCCGAAAGGGCAAATGGATAGAACTGTCCTCATTTTAAAGATGAGTAAATATGAAGCAGAAAAATGACTCACCCAAAACCCACAGTGAGTTGAGGGATTATAATACAAAAATTCCTGGAAGTGGGCCCTGAATTCAGTTTGTTTCACTGCTCTTCCAGATTCCCTGCCTTAACCTGTCTATCCAAATTAGAGTCAAATAACTCGGGGTTTAGTGAAGTCCCACACCAAAATAAAACAACACTAAATATAGAAGGGCAAACCTTCACACACGGAACAAAATCCTAATTTTATTTAAATGTCTCCGGGATCGGGACCTCACTCGAGTCTTCACATAGGCAGAAATTTTGAGTAATATTTTTCCTGCCAATTAGTTGTGGGAGCAATGTTAGGGAATGCAGTGTTCTCACATAAAAAGGTCTGGATGGGTGCCTGACAGCAATTCTGGGTCTGTTTTCCATCTAGAGCACTCTCAAAAAAAAATTAAAATGCATAATAATTTCAGTATTTTTTATAAGTATCGACAGTTTTAATTAATTTGCACAAGCTGGTTCCACAACACAATAGATTGAGCAATTCTCTGAGAGAACTTGTATCTCAATTAGCAAATTAAGCAACTATTGTTATAACAAACCCAAGAAGGCAGCGCAGCACTATTTCATTTCCTTGGTTCCATGACAGCTGATGTGAAAATGGCTATTTCAGCTGGGTGATGGGGACACAGGGACAGAGGGCTGGCACCTGGCAGGTGACATGGCAGTGCCTGTGATGGTTGGGTACCTGAGGAGGTTTGGGTACCTGTGAAGGAAGGTTTGGGTACCTGTGATGGTTTGGGTACCTGTGATGGTTTGGGTACCTGTGAAGGAAGGTTTGGGTACCTGTGAAGGAAGGTTTGGGTACCTGGAGGAGGTTTGGGTACCTGTGATGGTTTGGGTACCTGTGAAGGAAGGTTTGGGTACCTGTGATGGTTTGGGTACCTGTGATGATTTGGGTACCTGTGATGATTTGGGTACCTGTGAAGGAAGGTTTGGGTACCTGTGATGATTTGGGTACCTGTGATGGTTGGGTACCTGTGAAGGAAGGTTTGGGTACCTGTGATGGTTTGGGTACTTGTGAAGGAAGGTTTGGGTACCTGTGATGGCTTGGTACCTGTGCTGGTTTGGGTACCTGTGATGGTTTGTGTCTCGGAGGCGATGGTCCTGCTCGTGCTCTGAGCCTGTGTGCTTGGCACGGTCTCCTCGGACACGAACTGGACGGTGCTGGTGGCGCCGGCCGTGGCACTGGTGAGCTGGCAGCCGCTCTGCTTGTGCCCCACGAAGGCGTCCAGGTTGTTGAACTGCTGCTTGCAGATGCCGCAGATGTGGATGTCGGGTGTCAGCTCCACCAGCACCGTGGTGCTGCCGGGGACTGCGGGGACACGGCGCGGTCAGCTCGGCCCGGGGGATGGCGATGGGTGACACTGCTCCGGCTGGCACAGGGACATCCTGCTGCCCGAGCCGCGGGGGCACTGCGGGACGGGGGCACGCATCCCCAGAGGGCTCGGGGTCCCGCGGGGGCACT